ATGAAATGAAAAGTATTTGGGAATAATTATAGATTACAAGCTAGGCAACATCATGCAATGCTGATCTGCCATTGGAAAGGCTATAATATATAAAAAGGGTATTGATTCACGTTATTAAATATAATTTTGCATTTTTATAAATCAATGGTGAGACCCCACCTTGAATATGCGGTGCAAGTTTGGAACAAGTTTTAAAGAAGGATATTGCAGAACTGGAATAAGTGAAGAAGCCAGCTACAAAATTAATAAGGGGAATAGAAAACATTAGTTATAAAGAAAAGCTAGCAAAACGGCATTTGTTGTTCTTTAGAAAAAGATTGTTTCAGACAGGATATGATGGCACTATACAAATATATACAGGGTTAGTACAAACTGCTATGTGCTAACCTGTTTATTAACAAGCAAATATAAGAGACAAACTCTTGAGAATGAAAAAAAGGCATCAAACTGTCTGAAGTTTAGAACTTAGAAATGTAATTGCATAAAGTTCTTATGGAGTTTTAATGTACATATGCAAGAAGAGAAAAATGACTTTGGTTATTTGCTGATTATTAAATGAATATCTGGGAGATTATATTTCAAGATGATATTTTGGACAGTGGATAGTTTTGCCAATAAAACTAAGTGACAATGGCCAAATTGTATGGAAAGGGGATATATTGTACGGAAAGGGGATGCAGTGCTCTTTAAATAGAATTTAAAGTTTGGAGGATGGGCTTTGCGTGGGTGGGAGGAAATTATACACTAATTCCATTCACAGCAAAGTGGCTTTTACAGCCCAACCACCAAAAAAGTAAATTCTGTTTTATGTATATTTTACTAAATACATGTTATTTAGTTCATATACCAAGTGATCAATATGAGTGTAACGGTTTGGGGTAAACAGGCTCAGTATGCAGAGAAAGAACAAAGCAAAGTCACTTTGACGGAAAGTCTCAGGTTCTCAGGATGAGTCACAGCAGGCAGGACAATCAGTAAAGATCCAGGACAAGGAAACAAGTGGAATACAAGGCAGGATCAGGCAGGCAAGGGTTGAAGGCAGGCAACAGGATTCGGGATCATGAAACAAGTTTTAAAGTCCTAAGATGTTACAGGCAGAGAAGGTTTGTAACTTCTAGGGAACTCATAAGACATCCTAGACATGAACCTAGGGTGGACTGAGTTTAAATAGGGGAGAGAAAGGGGAAACCATTTCATGAGGAGGGGTCTAGGGCAGTGGACCACCAACAGTCCAGGTTTTGTCAGTATCTCCATTTTAATAAAAAAAAAGTAAAATACATAAATCCTGGACTGTTGGTGAGCCATGAGTACTGGTTTGGGGACCATTGGTCTAGGGTACTATATGAGTGAATGGTCCCCATCAGAGAGTTGGCGTCCATGCACCCTTTGTGGTTGGGATGCTATGCTGGGTTTCTTGCTTATCCTGCTGTTCTACATGCTGCTCCCTTACGGACCCAGTTGGATCTCCAAGGGTTATGACACCCTAAGGGGTTCCTGTAGAAAAGTGGGAAACAGCAGGCAAGGACCCACACTGAATGCCCGCCGGAGGGGAGGTGGGCCAGAGGACAGATAAGGCATGTCTCCCATCCCCTGCATGCTGCAACCCATGTGGAGCAGTTGCAGGGTCCACTTGGTAAAGACTAAGTGTGGTGCACCTTACACTCACTAAATGCCACAGAAGATTAGTATACATCGCTGGCTGCCAAGGAGCAGGCATGGAGCACCCCTCACTTTACTGGGAAAGGTGGTTGATGCCCAGTGAGTTGGCGCGCCTGCCTTTCCCGGCACGTCATGACAAAGAGTAAGTGTGGACTAAACCATTGTACAATTTTGTCATATTAGCCAACATGAATTGTTTCGTTTTTTTGTAATATTTTTGTTACATATTTACCTAATTTTCTACTTAATTTCACATAAATGAATAGCAGACAGACTGCATGCAGGACGAAGAAGCTGACATCAATCAAAAGTCCAATTGTGTGGGACATGTTCCATATTTCCCTGTAAACAACATGCTCATTAGTTTCCAGATAAAGGCAGTGTGACATTTTTTGACTAAACTTATCCAATATATTTTAAATTAATCTGTGGTTTCAAGCATTTATTAGATTAGCAGATATGAAGGATGTTTAATAACAAAATTACACAAGATTTATATTGTCAACATAACAAATTAGGGTAATTAACAATGTGACTTGTCTAGAATTCAGATAATGGATTGAATCAACCTTTAAACTAAAATAAACAAATTAAAAACTATAATGTGATTATTTTCAATCCAGCTATTATGGTCAAACTTTTCAATTAACTTTGAATTCACAACACTTCTTGTGCCTTCTTCAGCCTATGACACAAAACATTTACGGTTAAATAAATTAAGGGAACTCTCCAAACACCTAAAGCACTTTAGCTTTGTGAAGTGCTTTATGTGGAAAGAGTGTCTTCTTTTCTCATTTTGCAAAAAGTGCAAACATAAACATAGAATGTGTGCAGATTTCATTAAAAGTTGGTACATTTATATATTAGTCTGCACTATTTGAGTCTCTAATGAAGTGCCCATGAGGCACCAAACGTGTTAACTTTATCGTGGTGGTATCTTTACCCCTACTACTGGTCTTATCTGCAATTTTAAGTATAGAGCAATAAAGGTAATGTTGTTTTTTTTTTTTAATTCTATTTTGCACATGTTTTTCTCGCAGTGGTTTTGGTGCTCTGAACCCATTATAATGCATTATAGCCCATGTGCAATAATTGTCATCTGTGATATGCAGATAGTGCCAAAAACCTTTATGTTTATAAATTATCCTTGTTACACCCCCTGGCTGTTATTTAGACAACATGACCTGTTACTTCCTGGTTGTTTGTCTCACTTTCTAACAAGTACACTTCTGTTTCTCACTCCGTTAGATCTGTTTCTCCTCCTGTATTTGTTTATCAAATTTTGTATTGTTTTAAATGTATCGTACCTATGACTTTTTACTTGTACCATTTGTACCCGTGTACAGTGTTGCAGAATGTGTTGGCACTTTATAAAATCAAGAATACTACTATTATAATAATATTATTCAAATAATAAAATATACCATCATGGTATTGAGCTGAAAATGTATTTTTTGTTTGTAATTTGCAACCTGTAATGAGCCTGAGATATGGTTAGGTGTATGCCTGGTCTCAAGGTTGAAGTCTTTCAATGTAGGTAATAATTCCATTCATCCTATATTATGAAAGGGTCATGGTGAATACTCCCTAATACACAGTAGTTGAGTAAACCAACAAAAGAAACAGCACTGGCATATTACTGGATCTTAGAGTGGCCGGGCTTAATGTCTGGTATAGAAAAAACATGGTCAATAGACAAAACTAGGTCTGGAGGTACTAGCCAGATTAAAATCACAGAATAGCAGATAAAGGTACAACCAGCCAGATCAGTGTTACAGAGGAACTCAAAATCCAATAAACTTGCCAAGGTCAAACTAAAAATACAAAGAAATGAATAAGGAACATGCTAAGTGGGAACTGTGACATACCATGATAGAGTACTGAACTCTGACAAAATAGCTTTAAACTGGGGTTAGAAAGGTTTTGATTGGTCCACGTCACTCATGAGACCCCAACAATGAGGGAAAAAGGTCGTCTGAGAAATGCAACCAATCACCAATCAGAGGTAACGTTGTGCATAGTAAATGTATTTGAGGATGTGTCCCGACAGTTGGCAGCGTCCATTTTAGTGCATAGAAGCAGGCATTGCGGCAAATCCGTATGATCAGCCCTTGTTGATTTCCTGACAGGCGGTGCTGACTGGGTAAGTACCAACACAGAAAGCAACAGCTACCAAGGATGTAAAGGGTCCCTCTAAGCACCATAACCACTTCATCTTACCGAAGTGGTTATGGTACAAATACCTTTTCCCTTAGCCATCAGTGTAGTAAATAAATAAAATCTGGGGGCATACTCTTTCATAACAAAGCACATGTTAAACCATGTTGTTTATTTATATACAAATTGGCACACTATCATTTGGAGGTTATTATTAAACAAAGGTATTCTACTGATATATTTGAATCTTCTTGTTAACTTGTAATTATTTTTAAAAGCTAGGAGGAGAAGATAATCAACCATTTTAATATATGCTTTATTTTCCCTTTTTTTCTTAAAAAGTAAAAGGTATGATTTTAAAATCTATGCAATAATGACTGGGTGGGTCTTTACACCTTTCATCCCCAAGTAGATTTTTCGATGGGGATTTATCTGGCCCCTGCTTCATACACTCATGCCTTTAGCCTTTTTTATTTTTAAAAATGTTTCAGGTAAATACCTATTTTCCTGTGTGTAGGCCACCTTTCTGGTTAGTCAGTCATCCAGCTAGAATACTCTCCTGATAAATGATGTTAGCTGAAGTGTTTTTTTTTTTTTTTACATCTGTAATACTGAGTGATGCATTTATTGGACTATATTCATGTATTTATTTACGGGTGGTTTAATGGGTTTTCCCCTTTTAAAATAAACATTTTCTTAATAAATTTTATCTTTAGTGAGCACTTTTAAGGAGTGCCTTAAAGGGTTTGTTCATTAAGGTTTTTGATTGTTTTTGCCTACTTGCTTACTCTTACCTGACTTGTACAGAAGTTTGATTATAAAGAGGGTTAAACTTTAAGGCATGTCATCATTTCACCTGTGGAGGGAATGTTCCTCCCTTTTTTGCTCTTTTTTAGGCACGGCATCTTTTATATATAGTTGATTTTATTAAAACATTTCTTGAGGAGTACGAAACACGTTGATCATAATGCAGCATGATTTTTAGCGTGTAGGTATATTGCAAATATATGTATTTTTAAGGAACACTTCAAGCACCATGACCTCTACAGTGCTCTTTAGTGGATATGGTGCCAGGAATGCCCCTCAATGTAAGTAGCCAAACCGTTTGCTATTACTTGACAATAGTGATGTCCCGAACGGTTCGCGAACGTTTCGCCACGAACGTTTCGCCGAATGGTTCGCCACGGACTCATCATTCCAGCCAATCAGCAGCAGACCCTCCCTCCCAGACCCTCCCAACTCCTGGACAGCTCACTAAGAATGCAGCTTCAAAATGGATGCTGTCCAGGAGGTGGGAAGGTCTGGGAGGGAGGGTCTGCTGCTGATTGGCTGGAATGATGAGTCCGCGGTGAACCGTTCGGTGAACCGTTTGCGGCAAAACGTTCGCGAACCGTTCGGGACATCACTACTTGACAATGCTTGGATTTCTGACCTGGGGTGGGTAGGGCACAGCTTCCTACCCTTCTGCAGACAAACTCTCTTCACTAAGCTCTGCCTGGTGTTGAGAGCGATCAGATAGGAAATGGTTTGACTGCGTACATTGAGGGTTCGCCAAGGTAGCACGCTGTAGTTGTTATAGTGCTTGGAGTGTTCCTTTAAGGCACAATAAAATTATTACTTAAGAATTTATGACTTTTTAATAAACTTGGATGCCTACATATTTGAAGAGAGCTGGAGTCTGAAAGTCTTTTGTTATGCATGTTTCCAGTGGGAGGGACAGACAATCCCATCAACCTAGGACTGTGAGTGCTTATGCAGTGAGAATTTATTTCAGTAATATTTCAAGTTTGAGTGCTAACTCTAGAAGCGCCATTATAGTTGTCAGCTCAAGTGGTAGTCGCATCTCTTCTTTTTGTGTGAGTCCATCAAACTGAGTGCAAGACATTGTCTAACGTTGCTGGACTACAACATCTGTCATGCACAGTGCGATTGGGGACGGTGTATATTGGTCAGAACCCATCCTGGAATGCCAAATGAACACAGCATCTCATTTAGAGATAAATACAATTTCAGTACCTTTATTTATTTCTTTATTTAAAAAAAACCTAGACCACTGTTTTGCGCTGCTTGTGTGTTTAGCACAAATGTGTAAGACAAGGGGCATGGCTAGGGGAGGGCTGGGGGCTAATGCCCTGATTGTGGGGCTCTGTAGCCTTAGATATTTTAGCTGATGGTGGTAGAAGGTGATGCCCAAATCTGTTTCTCCCATACTGCTTTCCCTCCTGATCTCTTTGTTGAGCCATGTCCAAGAGTGGAAGCAGCACAGTTATGATTGAGATGCAGGAAATATGACACTCTAGCTATGTTCCCCATCTCTATCACTGTTCTACTTTGCTTCTCGACTGGGGCTCAACAAAGAGACCGGGAGGAAGAGCAACATGGCAGAAATAGCTGAGAGTTTCTGAGGGCTAGTGTAGCCTACGTGTGTTTAGGTAACCAGTGTGTATTTGTGTATGTGCTCTAATGTGCCTGTGTGACCCTGTCTGTGTGTACCTGTATATGTGTGTTTGTACGTGTTTATGCATTTGTGAACTTGTCTGTAACTATGTGTCTTTATCCAGGTTTGTAATGACGCATGTATTGCAGTTGTAAATGGGTAGAAGTTGTGGGGAACCAGTTATGGGACTTTAAGGAGACTTGTTTGTCTTGGGCTAAAGCACGGAGTGTTTTTGGACCCTAGCATTCCCCCGCGTAAGACTGTGGTCCCGGTTTCCCAATGTGATGGTCCTTCCCCTTGATCTCCAGCTTTACTTTATTTTTTACTCTCATTTGTTGCCATTTTCCACTACATGACCAAGTTATGTTCAAGTATGCTCTACATTTAATCACAAATTTCACAATATTGCAGTTGGTGTGCATATGCTAAGCTTACTTTGTTCTCAGAATTGATCATATCTAATAATTTAGTAACGTTTTAAACATTCACACTGTACTTTCAAGTCGACTTGTCAATCACAACAGTGACGGATGTTGAGGTAATTTTAAGTAGATCTAAAAACTGCAATTTCTATATTACGTTGGTGTAATTATTGTAAAAATATGCATGAATTATATTCAACATGAAACTTAGTTGCTACTCCTACAGTAAGGAGATTTATATATTTTCCATGTTAATCCAGCAGTTTACAGCTTTCAAACCCATATAGTGGCGGTGCAGTGTGAGTAGGGCCATCTACACAGAGACCTGATTTGTGAGCTACATAAGGCCATTCAATTGTACTTGCCGTCCCAAGTTAAAATGGCTAATAATTATTACATGGAGGAATAACTGATATCGAGGGATACAGGCATGCTGTATACTGTGCTTACCCTTGAGATTGATTGCTATCAGTCATTTTCACCGCGGCGGTGTAAAGTGATTGCCGTACAGCCAGTGATGTCTAAGGCCCTGATAAAAAGAGAATATGTGTAAATATGGGTCTTCTACTTCATAAAGGTCAATAAAAATCCAACATGTCCCATTAATCATCACTAATTTCAGTGCTTGTGGGCATTGCAACATATTTCAGATGGCTGTGCCGCTCACCACAAAACTTTAATAAAATATATACATTTTAACCCCTTAAGGACACAACTTCTGGAATAAAAGGGAATCATGACGGAATATTTCCGTCATGTGTCCTTAAGGGGTTAAAAAGACACATTTTTAATGCACTAGCCCCACAGAAGACTCCTAAAACGTTGTTTACTTTCAAATTCTACAAACCTTCCCCCAGCTCTCTTTAACATCACATACACAAGGGATAAAAATAATATGAGGTGACTGAATATTACATATAGAATCACTTTCTGCATCAATCCATTTTGCATTCATAAGGGACCACTACCTTATTTAAGCGTCAAGTTTTGTTTTTTTGTTTCTATTTTCTATTAGACTCCAAAAAATATTATTTAGGTAAGGGAGCCAGAAATAAATAAATGGATAAATATATGTTTAGGAAGCCCCACCCCACTTATTTAAAAGGACACTCGACTGCCCAAATAGAAAATAAATATAAATCACAGTTTAGTAGATATACCCTAAATGAAAACTTGCATGCATTTAATTATGCATTTTTAAAATTCGGAGTATATCTAAAAACAGCTTGCAAAACCTGGAGTTCTCATGTCTGCTGCCTTTGCAAACTCTCCCCTTCTAATGTCGCCCAGACTTCCTGTCTCTGTCCAATTACAGACTTCCCAATGCAACTCAATGAGAAGTCTTTGCAAATCAGGTGCTCTGGGCAATTTCACTGAGCTAAACAAATCAGGAAGTAACAGGACCTGTTGTCTCCTTGAAAACCAAGGGGTTGTAATCAGGTTACTTTATAAAAGTGTCAGTTTCTTTTGGAATCTGCACTTTTTGCCCCAAAAAAACCCCAACAACGGGGACGCACTCTTAAAACATAAAGCTTGTCTGCAAGCTGAAGTACTTTAGGGGTCTGGAGTGTCCATTTCAGTTTTATTGAAGAGGGTCCTATCACTATCCTGGGAATCGAAGCAAACATTTTCTTTACCTGTTTCCCCTGGACTATGGCACCAATGTGGTGCCATAAAGGTTATTTCTCACAATGGACATTATGCACTTTAACCCCTTAAGGACCGAGGATGGTTCAGGACCGTCATCGGCATTTTTGCATTGCCGACCGATGACGGTCCTGAACCGTTCTAACGGTAAGATGATTAAATTTAAAAAAAATTATATATCTATATGAAATTTTATTCTAACTGTATTTTGATATTAAAATATATATATTTATATCAAAATACACTTAGAATGAAATTGGATATATATCTAGGTATATATAAATAAATAAAAATAATACGAAATATACATATGTCCATATACAAAATTACATAAATAATTATATAAATATACATGTAGACTTCAAATATATAAATATGCATATATATTTAAATTCTATGTGCGTATTTATGTAATATTTTTACATAATTAAGTAATTTTATTAATTGCAATTTGAGGGACCTGCCTGCCAACCCTGGCCGAAAGTCCAGAGAATTTAATTTGCTAGCACTGTATTTTACCCTTTAACTTCGCTGAACACAAATATTAGTGATTCAAAACAGTAAACATATCACAGCGATGATATTGTCAGTGACTTTTTTCGCATTTTTCACACACAAATAGCACTTTTACTGATAATATAATTGTTGTGATACGATTTCCTGTTTTGAAACACTAATATTTGTGTTCAGCAAAGTCTCCCGAGTATAACAGTACCCCCCATGTACAAATTTTATAGTGTTTTTGAAAGTTACAGGGTCAAATATATGGGTCAAATATTTTTACATAAAAAATGGCCAGGTTGGTTACGTTGCCTTTGAGAGCGTATGGTAGCCCAGGAATGAGAATTACCTCCATGATGGCATACCATTTGCAAAAGAAGACAACCCAAGGTATTGCAAATGGGGTATGTCCAGTCTTTTTTAGTAGCCACTTAGTCACAAACACTGGCCAAAATTAGCATTCAATTTAGTTTTTTACTTTTTTTCACACACAAACAAATAAGAACACTAACTTTGGCCAGTGTTTGCGACTAGGTGGCTACTAAAAAAAACTGGACATACCCCATATTGAATACCCTGTGTTGTCTACTTTAAAAAAAAATATGTACATGTTGGGTGTTATTCAGAGATTTATGACATACAAATAGTGTTACAATGTCACTATTGATAAATTTGAAAACATTTATGTTTTGAAACCGCAATATCCTACTTGTACCTATAGCCCTATAACTTGCAAAAAAAAAAAAAGCAAAAAAGCATGTAAACACTGGGTATTTTAAAACTCAGGACAAAATTTTGAATCTATTTAGCAGTTTTTTTTATTTGCTTTTGTAGATGAGTAAAAGATTTTTCAAGTAAAAGTAAAAAAAATGTATTTTTTTCAATTTTTCCTCATTTTTTAAATTTTTTTTAAATTAAATTACATGCGATTATATAAATAATGGTATGTAAACAAAGCCTTTTTTGTGCTGAAAAAAACCAATATATAATTTGTATAGGAACAGTAAATGAGAGAGCGGAAAATTATAGCTAAACGCAAACACCACAAAAGTGTAAAAAGAGGCCTGGTCGCAAATGTACAACATCGCAAAAACAGTCCAGTCCTTAAGGGGTTAATGTCAGGGGCAGATGTAACAAAAACAAAACAAAAAAAATTTAAAATATAAACTCATCTCTTAAAATGTTCCAATAATGGTTTTAGAGAGTGCATTCCAGAATTCATATCATAGATTATTATTATTATTATAAGATATTAATAAAATGCACTAGAATTCAGCCAAATAAAATAAGAAATAACATAAAAAGAGATAAAAAGCGGCGACCACAACGTAAACATGTCT